ATCCCCTCAATGTCCCTGTGTCCCCACATTCCCCCACGTCTCCCAGTGTCCCCCAATGTCCCCCCACATCCCCTCATGTCCCCCCAGTGTCCCCATGTCCCCCCTTGTGTCCCTCAGTGTTCCCCTGTCCCTCCAGTGTCCCCGTGTCCCCCCACACCCCCCAGTGCCCCCCGTGCCACATGATGAGCCCTTACTCAGCCGAGCGCCTTCGCTGTCGGTTTCCTGGGGAGCGGCCGAGCCCGTGTCCCCCTCACCCCGACACAGAGTCACCCCCGGGGTCCCCACGTCCCCCTGGGGGGCTGGGGCTGGCCCAGGGGACACCAGAGTGGTGACAGGACCTGGCCAGAGCTGGCACAGCTGGGACAGGCGCTGTGACGAGGGGACAGGCTGATGGCACAGGGGCTTTCTGGGGACACTGGGGACTCTGGGGACATCAGGGACATGGGAACACTGGGGACATCAGGGACACTGGGGAGAGGGACCCCAGGGGACAGGGACTGTGGGGACAAGAGCTGTGGAGACAGGGACATCTTGAGATAAGGGACACTGGGGACGAGGGTGTAAGGGGACAAAAGGACCTTGGGGACAGGGATGTTTGGCACAGGGTCTGTGGGGACAAGGGTCTGAGCAGACAAAAGGATCCTGGGGACAAGGGACCCTGGGGACAGGGTCTGTGAGGACAAGGGACTCTTGGGACAAGGGACCCTGGTGACAGGGTCTGTGGGATCAGGGACCCTGGGGACAAGGATCTAAGGGGACAAAAAGACCTTGGGGACAAGGGACCCTGGGGACAGGGTCTGTGAGGACAAGGGACCCTGGGGACAAGGGTCTGTGAGGACAAGGGACTCTGGGGACAAGGGACCCTGGTGACAGGGTCTGTGGGATCAGAAACCCTGGGGACAAGGATCTGAGTGGACAAAAGGACCTTGGGGACAAGGACTCTGGGGCCGGGGTCTCTGGGGATAAGGGACCTTGGGGACAGGAACCCTGGGGACAGGGTCTGTGAGATCAGGGACCCTGGGGACAAGGATCTAAGGGGACAAAAAGACCTTGGGGACAAAGGACCCTGGGGACAGGGTCTGTGAGGACAAGGGACCTTGGGGACAAGGGTCTGTGGGGACAAGGGACTCTGAGGACAGGAACCCTGGGGACAGGGTCTGTGAGATCAGGGACCCTGGTGACAAGGGTCTGAGCAGACAAACGGACCTTGGGGACAAGGGACCTTGGGGTCCCTCGGGTCTGTGGGGACAGGGACCCTGGGGACAAGGGTCTGAGCAGACAAACGGACCTTGGGGACAAGGGACCTTGGGGTCCCTCGGGTCTGTGGGGACAGGGACCCTGGGGACAAGGGTCTGAGCAGACAAAAGGACCTTGGGGACAGGGATGCTGGGGACAGGGACCCTGGGCTCGAGGTCTATGGGGACAAGGGACCCTGGTGCCAAGGGAGCCCGGGGCTGGGGTCCCTGGGGACAAGGGCCAGGGGTGGTTGGTGGCCCTGAGCGTGTCCCCCAGGGCCTACGTGTCCCTGTTCATGCGGCACCTCTGCGAGCCGGGGGCCGACGGCTCCGAGACCCTC